TCTAAATACAGTAGAGACCCAGTACAGTGGGGAAAAGAGATCACTAATAAATAATACGGAGATGGAATAGTATTTTGTTGTGGATATTTAAATATGACAAAAGAAAAATAACTCTTTGTTTATCTCATGATTTTTTTGGTCAGGAATTGCCAAACTTGTTATGTATGTATAAAATCCCTGTTTAGCCTTAACGATCGACTACTGTGCCCTCTTCAAACGAAAACGAAAACGACAACAAAGCCCGTTGAGAGAGAGAGGGAGGCTCTCTCCTGCAATCTCTTGCTCTCTGGACGGCAGTGCGTGGGTGCCAGTGATGACAGTTAACCCTGTTTCAGGCTAGATCAATTTAGCAACTAATGTATAGCCTTAAATATTGCTTATTTTAATGTTAAAATAGCATACAAATATTGCTTAGTTTAATGTTCAATAAGCATTATATCAATTTGTGATTTTAAGGATTTTCTTTCTAAGGAAAACAAGCTTGAAAATCGATCATAACTAAGCTTTAAATATTCGAATTCTTTAAATCAATATTTATTGATATTTTTATATGACAAATCAAAGTTTCAAAACCTCATAATTGAGCCAAAAATAATAATACCCTGCAAGGGTTAATTTTGTATTTTGTCTTAGCTTGTATTTGTCAACACTGTGGTTAATGATCGTGCCAGCGAGTGCAAATATGATTATTGTTTTCTGTCCTCTCTCTCTCTCTGCCTCCTTTCCCTCCCATTTCCCAATCCATATTCGTGTTTCCCTATATTGGCGCGATGAGTGTACGACGCTGTAATGCCGTTTGTTTGTTTGTTGTTGCAGCTTTATTGCACAATCCCATGCTGCCACCCACCGCCTGCCACTGGGTCTGGGGCCATTTCCCTCTCGCTCGCACTGCCGCCGCTCTATCGTTCGTTGCAGGGCAAACAAATAAACAAACAAACAATCAAACAAAAGGAGGCGAGGGAGTAAAGTTTCTGATCAGAAATCGCACACTTGCCGTGCACCGAATATCAAACTAAGCGCCAACTGGCAGCCACGGTGATCCCACAGATAAATAAACTAGAGTTGCTGTTCCCCTTTTTTTGTTTTCAGTGCACTTTAAAGTGCGTGCGAGGGAGATAGGGAGATGGAGGCAATGCGAATTTCTGTTTGCTCTGTCGTTTTGCGTGTGTAAATTTTCAGTGCTTCAATTTTATGTGTGTTTCTCTTTCCCCACCTTATCCCTCCTTATCCTCTTTGCGCCCTCTGCATCATCCCACCACCCCGCTCTTCCCGTCAACGTCCGCGCAAGTAAATTTCTTCTAATTTAATATTTTGTTTACATTATTTATTCATTTACTTATGTATTTGCGTTGCTTCCTCTTGGCGCGCTTGTTTGTTTATGTATTTCACCTGTTCCCATCTCCCTGTGCTCTCCTGTTCCTCCCATGCCTCCCCCTTTGTGGCTCAAAAAAAAAGAACATACAGTTTTTGGTATATTTTTCTCTCAGTGGGAGAGATTTCAATTTTGAAAAAAAGACCCATTCTAAATATTGACAATCGGGAATTTTAATTGATTATTTGTGGTAAATATTTACGAAAATAAATGGTGGTATTATTCTTCTATCTTAAAATCACTGTCGGCGGTTTCTTTAAAAATAACAAAAATAAATGAAAGATATAAACAATATGTGTGACTATAAATCATTTTGTATTTGTAGCGCTCGGAAGAACTTTTTAAATAAAATAATACAAATAAATAATATTTTTCTTTAAAATGTTTTATGATCTCTTAGAGAAGAAAATGGTTAGGAGCTAATTAAGCATTAAAACGAAATAACGGAAAACAACAAAATAATTAAAACCTTCTCAAACTCTTTCAAAATTTGTATTAATTATGGTAAATAATTAATAATAATAAATAGAATTTAAGTAAATATACATCCATATGCATAAACAGCAATACAGTAAAAACTTCTGTTTCTTTTCAAAAACTTTCTGGAATTGCTGTCAAGTGAAAAGCTTCGATTGTTTTTAAAGAACTTGAAGACTCTTCAATACAGAGAAAAAAGGTAAGCTGTGGGTTTTTAATAAACAAACATAATGCTTAAACAGTATTTCCCCATAAAAATCGATTAAAGAAACTGAAATTAAGTGAGGAGATCGTCACATTTCATTCCACCTCAAAATCGTATAAGGTTCTATAAACTTTCTTGGAACCCAAGCTAACTTCCATAAGTAAACACATCTCAAATGTTATTTACATGGAAAACTGGTTCGATTTTCTCAAAGAAAAAATATGTTTATATTTAATCACGAAAGGAATATTTTTGAAGTGATAATTTCGTTTTTAAAGAAAAAATAAATCAAAATCGTTAATGATTAAAAAAATGTTTGATATAAGGATCTTTATCTATTTCTTTAAATAATTAAACAATTAGGTTTAAGATATTGTTCCAAAGTTAAAAAAAAGGTTTAATAAATTTAAGCAATTTCCTCTCCCATAAAGCTAGCATAGAACTTGATTATTGTTTTCATATAAATATTTTTAAACCTTTTAAAAGAAAAAATCGCCCACATAAGCACGCTCTACAATTTTGTTTAGTTTTTTAATTTTTACAACCCCCTTTGATACGCACAAAGGCACACGCATGCATTTAAGATGCAATTTTTGAATGATTTCGCCAGTTCCCACCTACCTCCGCTCGTTCGTCTTGCTCTCCGTTTTTTTGGCTGCTCTTTCTTCTTTATTTGCCGCCTTCTCCTGGTTCTTCGCCTGCTCCTCCAGTTGGTCTTCTCTTTTGCTGCCTTTTTCTCGCGCCTATGTGTGTGTGTTGTGTGTGCCTGTTGTGTGTTTGTCTCGTCTGCTTCTGTTTGTGTTTCACTTTGGTTCCGTTTTGTTGATTTGTTGTTTTTGTTGTTGCTGCTACTTGTGTTTATTTATTTATATTTTTGTTGTATTTCTTTTGGTTACTTGTTTTGCTTTTTGCACATTTCAAAATTTACACCGCTGTATTACCAACGAGAGAGCACAGTGAAAAAATGTTGAAAAAAAATGAACAACAACGCTATTGTTTACACGCGCGCAATAACAAAAATAAAATGTGTGTTTCAGGAATGAAAACCCAAAACAAGAGCGCAGAAAAAAAACGTGAAAGAAAGGAAAGGAGTGCGAAAAGCGCGTGTTGCGCTGGAATTTGATTTATTCTTGGTTGGTTTTCTTGCGCTTTTTGTTTTGGTTTTCAACAGCCGTTTGCCGTACTTCTATTTGTCCCTGTTCCTTTTAGGCTTTCTTTGTAGTTTTAATTCTCTTTCGGTTATATTGTTTATTGTTTGTTGCTGCTGCTGCTGCTGGCTGGTTGTGTTTTTGTTGCAGTCGCCGCAGCAGAGTGAAAATCCGCGTCCGATTCGCACGAGTTTCGCTGGCAGAATGATGCGAGAATGCCAGATTGGCCAAATACACCGTTCGTTTTCGGGGAATGTAGCTTTTTACCCGTCCCCCGCCCCCGTCTCTGCACCTAAATCCCACCACGTTTCGCCAGGCCGGCGGTCGTCCCTCTCGCACTCGGACTTTCGAACAGCTGCTGCCGCTGCTGCAAAACACATGCAATTACCGTAGTGGTTGTTTTCATTGCAAAGAGAGAGAGAGAGCGCGGGAGAGAAGCAAATTAGAGCGTAGGAGCACGAGGCAGAGAGTGGAGGTGAGAGAAAGCTTTCGCTCTGGCTGCATGGAAAAGGTAAATAAAATATAGGATTCTCGGATAGTTTCGAAAATTAACATTAACGCTTTTTGATTGTTGTAAATATTTTGGTTTAAATTAATTTACAGAAATCAAAGATGTTGATGTTAAAGGCAACAATTTATGTTTGGTGAATTAACCAAATACTGAAAATTAATTAAAAAATATTAAACTAATTATTAAGTACTAAGTACTCAAAGATTTCTAGGAAAAATTATTCGTTTACCATACCGTAAATACTTTTTTTACATTCTTATTACCAAGTTGTATTTTAGTATTTTAATTAATCTATTAAAAGCATTTTGTAGAAACCAAAATTAAAAAATAAACTATGTGAGATGCTAAAATAATTTAAATTCTAAAATACTTTTCGGAGTGCGTTTTTTGGAGTTAAAAGACAAGTGGAACAGTTCGCATAAACTTAAATAAGTTTAAATTCGCAACACTATTGTATGAGTTACATTTTGTAATAATCTACTTTTTGTCTGATGTTTGTATATTGGTAAAGCTTTTTTTTTTGTTTTTCTTTAGATTTTGACTACTCAAATAAATAATATATAAATAATAATTAATATATTTATTAAATATGTCGTTTTTTAAGAAGCTACCTTTTAAAACATTATATTCTGTAAATTTATTTGATTATTATTCCAATATTATATTTTAATTTATAACATAATTATATTCTGAGAAGCCACTGTATGTTTTTGTTTGATTTTTTAAGAAGCCGATGCTGTGCAGAAAGCTTTCGGAGCTTTTCTTTGATTCAGAACAGTAAAGAGAGTAAGAGAGAGCGGACTAACGGTATTACGAAAAATCGCGCATCAGTAATGTGCGAAATTCGGCTATTGGCAAGATTTCGGGCTTGCTTCCCCTTTGGCTGCGTCGTCGACAGCAGCTTTTGTATGAACTGGCGTCATTATTTATTATCTTTTATTTTTGCGAGGTTAGGTTTATCGCATGACCCTGACAATGAGCTCTCAGTCACTCTTGATTTATTTGTATTTATACTTTTAGGATATAATCTCTAAAGTCTTCGTTATTTTAGTGTTTGTTTTAACTTGATTTATACGTATTTGTTTTAATTTATATATTTTTATTTTAATTGTTACCTGATTACTGTGTTCTAAGAACGATTGGGCTTAAATTATTACCGTCAAGAATAACGATATAAAAGTTAGTCATTTTTAAAAAAGCGCGCCCCTAGAGAGCTCTCGGCAAACCAATTTGGCTGCTCTACAGCCGCTGTCTGGCAGCTCTGTTACTTTGTGTGTCTATCGATAACCATAAGCTATCAGCTGTTTTTACTTGCACAACAAATCTGTTGAAATATTTTTCCAGCATTTTTACCGAAATTCCCTGAAATAAAATGCGGCTGACAAACGTTTTATTCAAGAAAGTGAAGAGCAAGTAAGTAAACTTCTGCATAGTCAAAAGATTATCGTTTAACTTTGCACCATTTAACAGGCGTATAATGGTTGTGCTGGAAAGTGTGGTCAGCGGCCATCAGTACAATGCCTTCCGAGATCGTTTGGCCGAAAAACTAGAGATAATACGCTTTGATCCTTACAGTGAGTATTGGAACAATAAATTGCAAAGCATAAATGTAAATTTCTTTAAAAACCACCTATTTTCAGTTCAACAGGAAAGCCTTTACCGCGAACGCAAGAAAATCCGCAGCGCCTAACGAAAAAATACTCCGCTTTACCAGTAACTTATGTTAGTGCAAATAGAAGTTATAAAAGTTGTGTAATAAATTCTCTATATTGACCTTTATCTGCTGGCAGTACTTATTAAAGACAAGGGATTGTTTTTAATGTTAATATTTAGACATTCTTAGGCTCCTCATATCAGCCGGTGCTATCGATAGCTCAAATAGCGTTGCCAGATTTAACAGAAGAGGAAATCGGTTTTAGATTTTCTATTCAGCAACTTTTTATCAGTTTTTATTCGCTGTACTGCCTAATTAAATTCATTAATTTTCAACACCCAATTTTGGTTTTAAGGAAAAGTTAAACATATTATTTGAGGTCACCATTTGTTTACCCTATTAATCGGTATCGATAGCTGATAGTCGCTACGAACAGCTGTTTGAACCGGCAAATTTGTCAATTTGTGAAATCTTGTGCACAATCTTTTGTTGAAATTATGTCCGATTTGGAGGAAAGTGGCAATAAAGAGCCGGAAACGGAGCCGGGACCTGAACAGGAGTCTGAGACGGATCCCAGGAAGCTGCTGGAGACAACGGCTGCCTGTCAGGAGGACGAGGATCTGGCCAACATTGTGACCGCCGAGGAGTACCTGATGCACAAGGATGTGGTGCTGCTGGAGTACGAGAAGCAAATGTTCCTGGACACAGTACATGCCGATGGCCTGCTGGTTTGCGCCAAGTAAGATGGATACCTGCCTTAAATAGCTTAAATAATATTGATTAAATTGTATAATAGGGGCCTGAGCTATGAACGTGTGCTGATTAACATCCTAAAGGCCTACAGCGATGCGGGAAACCTAGTACTGGTAATCAACAGCTCTGACTGGGAGGAGCAATACTTCAAGTCCAAAATGGAGGCCAAATATGTGCACGATGTGGCCAACACAGCCACTGAGAGGTGAGTATTAGAAATATTCAAGAAAACCTCATTAAGTAAAGTTCTTCTATCCCTCTCGCTCTTTTTAGAGAACGCGTTTACTTGGAGGGCGGCCTGCAGTTCATTAGCACACGTATCCTGGTAGTGGATCTCCTCAAGCAGCGCATTCCCATTGAGTTAATCAGTGGAATAATTGTGCTGCGTGCTCACACCATCATCGAGAGCTGCCAGGAGGCCTTTGCCCTTCGTTTGTATCGTCAGAAGAATAAAACAGGCTTTGTGAAGGCATTCTCTAGCAGCCCCGAGGCCTTTACCATTGGTTACTCCCACGTGGAGCGCACTATGCGGAATCTGTTTGTCAAGAATCTATATATTTGGCCACGTTTCCATGCCACTGTTCGTGCCGCTTTGCAGCCGTGGCAAGCGCAGACAATTGAGCTGCATGTGCCCCTTAGCCAGAGCATGACCTCCATTCAGACTCATATTTTGGATATAATGAACTTTTTGGTACGTGAAATAAAGCGTATCAATCGCACGGTGGATATGGAGGCGGTCACTGTGGAGAATTGTGTCACCAAAAAGTTTCACAAGATCCTGCAAGCGCAGCTGGACTGCATCTGGCATCAGCTTAACTCGCAGACCAAGCTAATAGTGGCGGATCTCAAGATTCTAAGGAGTCTGATGATGTATGTTCTTGTACAAGTGGAAACTTTAAATTTAAAACTATTTCTTTCAGCTCCACCATGTACCACGATTCGGTGAGTGCCTATGCCTTGATGAAACGCTATCGCAGCACTGAGTATGCCCTAAGTAACTCTGGCTGGACTTTGCTGGATGCTGCCGAGCAGATCTTTAAGCTCTCCCGGCAGCGTGTCTTCAATGGTCAGCAGGAATTTGAGCCGGAACCTTGTCCCAAATGGCAGGCCTTGACTGATCTGCTAACCCAAGACATACCCGGCGATATGAGACGCTGCAGGAGGACAGACCAGCCAAAAGTTTTGATCCTTTGCCAGGATGCACGCACCTGTCATCAGCTGAAGATGTATTTAACCCAAGGTGGACCGCGATTCCTCCTTCAGCAGGCCCTCCATCACGAGGTGCCTGTGGGCAAGCTGAGCGACAAATACGCTCGGGAAAGTCAGTCATCTAAAGAGGTTCCTTCCCTACCCAAGGGTACAAAATCAGAGACAGCGACAGCCAAGCAAGAACCAACTAGTTCACAGCCTAGCGCTGGGATAGATGAACTGGCCCAGCTATTGAGTGATGTGGAGGCCTCGGCGGCGGGTCAGTGCTTCGAGGAGAGCTACATGCTGACCATGACACAGCCAGTGGAACGGGAGCAAGAGCACGATAAGGAACCCTCACAATCAATCAAACCCGATCCAGATGCATCCATTTTCGAAACTATACCAGAACTGGAAGAGTTTGATGTGACAGCAGCTCTGGCAGCGGTTCCCCATCAGCCTTATATATGTTTACAGACCTTCAAGACGGAACGTGAGGGTGCCATGGCCTTGGAGCATATGCTGGAGCAACTGCAGCCACACTATGTGATCATGTACAATACGAATATAACGGCCATACGCCAATTGGAGGTCTTTGAAGCACGTCGTCGCTTGCAAGCTGCAGACCGCTTAAAGGTTTACTTTCTCATACATGCAAGGACCGTGGAAGAGCAGGCATACCTGACCAGCCTGCGTAGGGAGAAGGCAGCCTTTGAGCTAATCATTGATACCAAGAGTGTGAGTGATGGATTGAATATGAAATTATTGAAATCTACATTAAATATCCTTATAATTTCTTCCCTTCCTTCAATAGAAAATGGTAATACCCGAGTACCAGGATGGCAAAACCGATGAGGCTTTCATTTTGTACAAGAACTACGACGATGAACTCACTGGCGAGGATAATGCCAAGAGTCGACAGGCTGGTGGCCAAAAGACAACAAAGGAGACACCCAAAGTCATTGTGGATATGCGTGAATTTCGTTCAGATCTACCTTGTTTAATACACAAGCGTGGCTTGGAAGTGTTACCCTTGACCATCACTATTGGGGATTACATTCTCACACCAGATATCTGCGTAGAGCGTAAATCCATATCGGATTTAATAGGATCCCTAAACTCTGGCCGCCTGTACAATCAATGTGTCCAAATGCAGCGCCATTATGCCAAACCTATACTTCTGATCGAATTTGATCAGAATAAGCCCTTTCATTTGCAAGGGAAATTCATGTTATCCCAGCAAACGAGCACTGCCAATGCTGATATTGTCCAGAAGTTGCAACTTCTTACATTGCATTTTCCACGTCTCCGTTTGATATGGTCACCCAGTCCTTATGCCACTGCCCAGCTGTTTGAGGAGTTGAAATTGGGTAAACCGGAGCCAGATCCTGTACAGGCGGCTGCCTTGGGCAGCGAGGAGCCCACAGCGGGTGAGCAATTGCATTTCAACAGCGGCATCTATGATTTCCTGCTACGATTACCCGGCATTCATACACGGAATATACACGGACTGCTGCGGAAGGGCATCAGCCTGCGGCAATTACTGTTGCGTAGCCAAGCGGAGCTTGGAGATCTGTTGCAGTCACAGGAGAGTGGCAAGCTGCTTTATGACATTCTGCATGTGGCACATTTACCCGAAAAGGATGAGGTGCCCGGCTCAACGGCATTGCTGGCGGCTGGCAAGCAATTTGGAGCCGGTTCGCACAATCGCTTCAGGAAGGCGGCAGCCGAATCGCGAAGGGGACGTCGCTAAGGGAGTGGAGAAGGAGCAGACCAGAAGGAGTTGGAGTTGGAGTCAGAGAAGCATCAATATATGTACGTTACGTTACGTCACGCCAGTCAGCCACTGGAGTGCCCAGCAAACAGTCGTCGGCGCCAAATTATGGAAAATATTTTTTAAACGTTGCAATTAACTCGCCAGGGGAATGAGGAGGTACAGCAGCAGCAGCAGGATACAGGATGCAGCTGGTGGCTAAAAGGGAGGCAGACAACGTTGACAATCGGGAACAGCTCTGACCGCTGGGGATGCGACAAACTGCGATATACTGGACACACACACACTGATGGGGTGCAGAGAGAGAGTCCATGAAAATCAATTTTTAATAAATTTTTAATTGCCAGCCCAACAGAGAGTGGAGAAAGGAGTAAAAGTCTGAAACTGCATCTGCATCTGCACCTGCTGCCACAACAGCCAGACCATGTGATAAACAGAATTTTTTATTATTTTTTTTTTTTGTAAAAACTGAAAATACCCCAAAAAACTGCATAAGATTCCGCTAGAGACTCGACTCCATTACATTATGTATATATTTAATGAGAAAATGCCAGGCAGTATAATTTAATGTTTTCTGCTTGAAAGCAAATGTTAAATATATTTAAAAATCTTAAAAATTTTATAGTTTTTTTATTTGGAAAACTCTAAAATTTTCTAGCCTCTCGATTTTAGATTCAGTGCGAATTTTCAAAAACCGCAATTGCCTGGCCAATTGAAATTGACGCAAAGAGAGGTAATTGGCATTCAGATTGGAATGGAGAATTGGAGAATCAAATAATGCAATTTGCAAAAGGGGTGCAACGGGGGTGGGTGAAGTGTAGACAATAGCACATGGACACTGGATACATTATCTTCTATCGGAATAATATTGCTTCTTTCATTGTTTTTGAAACGTTTTATGGAAACCTTAAAATTATTGATTTGTCTATTTGTAGTGGGAGAATTTGATTATATATTCTCTGTATATTGAGGTTACTATTATTTTTTATAATTATATATTATAATAATATATAAAATTATTATATTTTGAGTTTTCTGTACTTAGTACTTCTTAATATAACATATAAATGAACAAGAATATGGTATTGGCTAAGCAATAATTTAAGGCTCTTTATTGTAAAAGCATAAGAAAACTAGTATTTTCAATGAAGGCCCTTAAATTATAGCAAAAACCATTATTATCTGATTAAGAAACAAGAAACTAACTTCTGCGTTTTTTTTCTAGTATATATTATTATTTTATTTTTCTAGTATTATATTAATATGCAGAAATCATATACTATATATAAATTCTATAGAAAATGTATTTGAAGATCAAAACCAGAAGAAACGAACCCTATTTTCAGAAAAACAGTTGTTATTGAATAGTAATAATTAATAGAGCAGTAAATGTAAAAGAATTAAAAGTTTATTTGAAAAATTTAACTGAGAATATTTATCACGATTTAAAAAAGGAAAAACTAAGTTCTTTGATTATTTTCTTGCATATATATTCAGAAATTCTACATAAATATTGTATGGTATATAAAATTAATTTAATTATAAATAATAAACCAATAAATAATAAAAATAATGTATAATATATACAATATTCATGTAAATACCAAAACGAGAAGAAACGAACCTTCTCTAAAGAAGAGTCGAGCTCTTAAAAAAGATAAAATCCATGTTCTTCGATTATTTGTTGTACCATAAACTCAGTTTAGTGTACAACATAAAGTATATAGAATTATTTATCTATAAGAAATAAAATATGACTATTCTGAGGAAGAGTTGTAATCGAAGCCTTAAAAAAGAACCAAAGTTCTTCGATTATTGTTTATACTATGTACTTTTATAATATTTTTTTAGAGCATCCCCTATTCGCTGTGTCCCTGTGTTTTCCCTGCCATTTCTTTACGTATTTGCTTTTGGCTCTCGCTTTTAGTGCGCTGCTCTTGTCCGGCTCATTGGGCAAAGCGCGCTTAGAGCGTGTTTGTGATTGTTGGCATTATCTGCGGGTCCAAGCCACCCCACCTCCCATCCTACCTCCCGCTAACCCACCCACTCATCCCCCAGTCGTGGCTGCGAGGGAATCCCCGCTTCGATTTGTGTGCCACACACGTACGTGTGTCCGTGTGTCTGTGTCTGCGTATTTGCTGCATAGTTTTCAGCGCAAGTGAATCTAAAACTTGGCAAACGTTCCATTCCGACTTTGGACTGACTTTTCGACTCTGGTCGGTCGTGGACCCGTGGACTTCTGTTGGACTCCTGGACAGTCTGGCTTTGTGGCCTCCAATTCGATTCCAAAAGCATATTTGCCAATTGGCTGCGCTTTGTGCGAAAATGCCCAAAAGGGGTCAAGGGGGGCCGCCTCGATTTGAAATCCGGGAAAACCTTGGTAATGGAGGCCGACCATCTGATGCGGGGGAGGAGGAGGTACAATTAAAACTCCATTACAGCATGATACTCCTTTCGGCCTTGATTGTACGCCCCCCGTCCAGGGCTTCTCTCTGTCCCATTTCCCTTTCCGCTTGCCGCTTTCCACTTTTCCGCTTTCCCAGCTCGCCGCAACAAACGCTTCAATCAAGCGCCCGGACAATGGCCAGAACCTGAAGCGCCTGAAAAACCCCCGAAAACATTTGGCCCCAGCAGTGGCCCCGCTTTTACCCGATTTTTCACCCGCTTTTCCTCGCTTTTCTTTCTTTTTTTGTTGTTGTCCTGCCCGATTCCCACAATGACAACGTTAATTTTCACTCACCAGACCCCAAAATGGATATTTGATTTTCGGGGCATTTCCCTCTTTTCCTTTCTTTTTTTGTTGTGGTGGTTTTGTAACTATTTTTTGTGTGTTTTTAAGGTTACTTATTTTTTATTGGAAAGGTTTAATTCTGGGGAGTTTTTTGTCCGGAAAATGGAACAGTCATTAAGGCTTTTAAATTGATATTCAAGGGTATTTTTAAAGACATTTAAGTAGCTATAATTAAGTAGTTTCTATTGTGAAACAAGTAAACAAAAAGTAAAAGTGCTCGAAAAGTCTCAAAATAAGATTATTTTCTCAACTATAATTGATAAATATATAACGATTCTTTAAGTAATTGACTAACCAACCTATTCTTCATTTTTATAAATTTGTAACTCAACTTTTTGATTGTTAAATCTTAAATTTATAATCTGTTTAGTCACAAAAGCAGCTCCAAAAACATATCCCGACTTAAATCTAAGCCATAAATAATCAGCTTATGAATTAATTTACGGCTTAATTAAGGAATGTTGTGTTTTTGTCTCAAAAGAAAGCCCTAAACTAAATACAAAACAAAGTCAGTCGAGTGGAAAATGAAATTAGCTGAAATTCCACAAAATTTAATTGGACAAAGTTTGTGTCCATCGTGTCCATCGTTGGCTCGTATATAATTCGATAATTGATTGGAATTAATTGCAAACTTTTTGCATACTTCATTATCATCCTAAGTTCCCCAACCACCCGGATATACATCTAAGAGAGGGGATGGAATGGTCCAAAACAAATTAAAAGGCCGCACATCGTTAACCACAGGCATCATTAAATATATCAAGTATTGGGATGGAAAACGAGGAAATGGAAAGAGAACGAGCAAGGGAAATGGAAAAGAGAAAGTATCTGAAATTGGCATTTGAACCTGTTCAGCATGAAAATCTCATCATTTTCATGAATACACAACACAGTTATTTAGTTGACTTTGCATTTATCCTTTTTAAGGGATTTTCCAAGCAAAATATAATCACAAGCACTTGAAGCAATGAGCAATGTCGTTGAAGCAATTATTTACGACTTGAGCCTTGGCGGAATTTCATTAGTCAAAGTCAAAGCCAACGGACGGCATCGATTTTTGCTTAATTTCGTTAAGGCAGGACATGGGCCCCATAGGAATTGTTGGAAATTTCCGGGAGGGAGAGGGGAGGGGAGCAATTTGACACATTTGAGGAGAATAATGCCCACTACTTATTTTCTTACTATCTGGCAGTTTGGGAAGGTGTGGAGGAAAATGCATTTAAGAAATTCCGACACACACACACACACACACACACAAGAGAGATGGAAATACCTTTGTCTTTGTGTGAGTTAATGCAATGGGGGACATAAATGGGGTTTTAGAATTATAAGAGAAAGGCATAAGGAACAAGGTATATAGTTTTCTTACAATAATAATTAATCTTTATATAGCTTGTAGATTATTTATAAATACTATTTTAAGTAATGAATCTTATTATTTGTAGTTATATAAGTTTAGTTAATTCAATTAATATAGAATAACATTATTTCTAAGCGTTTTTTAATTAGACTAAGGGGCCGAATTTTGATTGATCATAACGATCATAACAAATTGCTTGCATTCACTTTCAATTAGAATTAGAAGTATTCAATTAGAAGTATTCGTGATATTAAGAAAATTAATTAGTAAGTTAATCCATTGCAAGCACAGCTAATTATAGACTTAGGCCTGATCCCTCGTATGGCACGATATACATGATATAATTGTCATGATTAAGACTTACCTTAGTAGAGGACATACTTATTATCATTGTCTATCATTGCCTAATTCCTTCCAGTGCATAGTTATATTCCTGTTAATTATAATTAGGCCTTTCATGGTATCGAATCGAAGTAAGTCCCTTCCTGGTTATCCAGATGCATATCATCGATCAGATGATATGTTTGAGGTTGTAAGGCAATCGTTATCACTGCCATTATTATTCACTATCACTATCACTACGAAGTAAACACCGTGAATGCCGCGCACATACTAAGGTAGGAGCGGCAGCAGTGCCTCTATTTATAGTTCCCGGGCTAAGAGAACAGAGAAAGTGAAAGAGCGAAGTGAGAGCGAGAGTGACATAGATCATTCTGGAGATGCTTAGAGAGGAATACACATACCAAAAATGAAAGAGACAAAGAGAGTGGCAGAGAGCCACAGAGCCAGAGAGGGGGAGTTAGTGAAGGAGGCACTTTCGACCATATAAAGTATATATATTCTCATTCAGCATCAAAAGCCGACTCAATCCGCCTCTCCGTTTCTAAACAAATTACACTCTCAGTTTTAAAGCTATCTCGCATCGGACGAACGCATATACATAGCTGCCAAAGGAACGATCGGAACATTTTTAGAAAAGAAATTATAACTTTTTCAGTTTTCAACAGATTTTTATCAAATTTAAGGAATAGCCAATTTATATTATTCTACACATGTGTTTAACATTTTATAAAAATCGGACTACTATATCACATAGCTGCCATAGGAACGATCGAGAAATGAGTACAATTAAAAATTATAACTTTTTCAGTTTTCAAAAGATTTTCGTCTAATTTAGGATAAAATAGTATTATTTTATAATTTCGGTTTTAATATTATTAATTTATATTATTATTTTATATTATTAATTAATATTATGCCCACTCTATACATCTCATTCTCTTTGGTATGTTTATCTCTCTCTGGGTACCTCTATAGAGGTAGCTCTGTCTCTCTCTCTCTCGCTCTAGGCTAAGCACTGGAGTTGTAACTTTCCCTCTCGCTCTCACTTTCTCTGATCTCTCTACTCAGGGACTATAATTAGAGGCACTGCTGCCGCTCCTGCCTTAGTATGTGCGCGGCTTGCTTAGTGTTTACATCGCAGTGATAGTGATAATGGTAGTGATAATGATTACCCTACTACCTCAAATATATCACCTGACAAATGCAAAACATTTGGATAACCAGGAAGAGGCTAACTTCGATGATGATACTATGAAAAGCCTAATTGACGTCGCCAAGAATATAAATCTACACTGAAAGGAATAAAACAAAGAGGAAAATGGATACCCGTGTGACCTTTCCTGAGGTAAGTCAAAGTCTTTTGTTACAATATTATGCCTTTGCAAGGTATTATAATTTCAGTGGGAAGCTTAAAAAGCAATGAAGAAGTCATTTCCGACCCTATAAATGATATATATTCTTGATCAGCATAAACAGCTGAATCAATCTAGCCACGTCCGAAAAAAAAATGAAATTTTAAAATTTTTTAAAATTGTATAAGGGTTACACCGTTTAAATTGCCAAAAAAAAAAAAATTCAAACATTTTTAATTTAAAATATAAATATGCAGATATATTAACGAATTAAAAACTAGCACAGAACAGCTGCCCGAATTGAAATTAATGTATTTTTGGCTTAGTTATGATATTTGAAAAACTTTGTTTATGGCTTAAAACATTACCTTATTTTGTTCTTTTCTTATTAGTTTAATCTTTAAAAATATATCACATTCTACTTTATTTGATTATCCTTGTTTTTCCTGATTTCCCCATTTCCTGTATATTTTCCCTAGCTCCCCTTGAATGCACTTTAGCTGGCTTTACTTCTCAAATACCAATACAAGTATATATATATATATATATATATTTATATATATTTTTGTGTACAGAAGGGAATTCATTCAGTAGTTTCTGGTTTAAAGGTGGTCAGGAAAAAGACGGGGGGAAAAAGTGGGGGAAAATGGAAACGGGGCGTGCCTTTTCCCAGGCGGGACTGCTTATCATAAATGACAAATCTGGAATGTGAATGCGAATGCTAAACGACCAACAACTAAATGGGCCAAAAGAGTCAGACAGCTCGATTTCCAAAAGGAGAATTGCTCCTCGCCTGGCTTCCCTCCCTCCCTGCCTGGCTGGCTGGTGTTCCAATTTTCCTGCATTTTGGTGTAAATGTAAATGTAAACGATATAATCGCTTCAATCTTTACCAAAAGAGGGAGGTGGAAAATTGCTATCCAAGTGGAAAACACAGAGAGGGCCAAAAATAAACGGGAGCCATGAACCATAGACCAAGACTTTGGTTGCCTTCTTGTTAGCCTCTTTTAGCATTTAATTTTTTTTTTTTCTTGTGTTTGTATTTCTGGCCAAAATTGAGGGTTTTTCCTACCCCCAAAAATGCGATCGATGATTTTCTGGCTGGAATATTAACCGGAATGTAACCATTTGGCTTTACGCAAATTACAAGTTTTGTTAAAGATTTTCTTAGAAGAGAAAAGTTAACAAGAGGTTTTTAAATTGTTTGATTTGTAAGAATTATAAAGAAAAAGTTAAGTAAATAATTAACCAAATAAATATATAATTGATTAAAAAAACGATTTACTGTATCGCTCAACCTATTTAATAATTAAAAATTTGTAAATTTTAAATATATCTCAACGAAGTGACCCGATCTGAGTTAATCACTTGAATATTCTATAGTCTCAATAATCGGATCTCCCTGATTACCTGGGCGCTGGCCACCTGGACGACTTAATGTCGCGTTATCTGTACACCGATCACATCCTGGAAGCCTTCAATGTCTTCCATCGACCCATGGAGCTGGATGAGGTGGCCGGCTATGTGGCCGAAATGGAGGCCAAGTCCTTGGAAGAGGTACGACTGGCGGTCGATAATACCCTAACTGCCGCCTGGTTGCATGGTTTTATCAGTCGGGAAGACGATATGTTCACTCTAACCTGTGGCTATTGGGATGATGAAGAGCGGGGCATGTCGGGGAAGAGTCATTTGACTATAAGTCCAAGGTAAGCTATTTTGCTATTATAATTTATATATCTATAATCTAACGATCTTTGAGCTCTTTTCTAGTGCAGAGAAAAAAGGGGAGTCTCCTGGTGGCATCCGGGATATGGATTATGGGGATCAGATACTATCGGCCTTCTTGGATCGACGGTGTCCCCTCTCACTCCCTACTATTGTGAGCTATGTGTCAATGGCCATGAACAGGAGTCCAGCGGAGGTCTATGATGATGTAAGATTTACCCTTGAATTGGCCTTAGACCAAGGTTATTTACAGCAGCAGCAAGAACATGTCTTCCTTTTGCCCAAGGACTTTACCCCCGTAACTACAACATCTAAATAAATAAGTAAGAGACTTTTAGAATACAAAAATACAAGAGAAATTTGTTCATAAGAGTGCCTAAAGCTGCAATAATTAAGTAGTACCAAGCCTAAAGAAGAACTTAACCAGAAATAGTTTCAATCAGCACAGTAAGTAGAGACATTAGCTGGCACTTAAAGACAATGGTCATGTCTCTCTCTCTCTTTGTGTGTTTCCCCTGCCAAGATGAGGTGACTTTTCCGACATTTTGGGCTTTATTTTGGCCCATGTCATCAGGTGTTCAATCTAGGTACGACGACGACGACACTTGTCCAACAAGTCCTGGTTTCGTGTACATGTCTGCCGGTTAAGTGACCGCACAGGGAACCATTTGATGGTGACCCAGTTCGTATTGATTTCACAGTCCAGGAAAAGTCCATAGTCCACAGTGTGAACAAAGCACAAGCCATTGGCTTTTATTGTTTGCCAGCCTTTGGCCGGGGAGAATTTTCCTCAAAAGTCTGAGCAGGGGGGAAAACGAGACTCTCAACTCTCAACTCCTGATTCCGGAACTCCGGACTCTGGAGTTCCCATCGAGATGTGGGGTCTCCGATAAGCCCGCACCTATGCAGCCCCAAATTGGGGTGTCAGCTGCCAGTGATTCTGTCACTATGCGGATGGAGGAGTAGAAACTACACTGAACAAAAAAACAAAGAATACTTGCATATTTAGTTTTACATTATTTTAGAGAATTTATGTAGAAAAAAAAAAGAATAAGTTCGGAAAACCAAACTAACATAATTCTGTCAAACTAAAAACTTTATATCCCTGCTTAGAAATTATAAAAAGCGTAGGTAATTCCTGAATTAAAAAAGGTTCTATTGAAATTCGTATAAAAAAATTGTTAAAAATAAAACAAAGCTCCTTTTAAAGGTATTATAATTTTAGTCAGAAGCTTGAAACGCAATGAAGAAGTCATTTCTGAACCTATAAATCACATTTCTTCTTGATCAGCATCAACAGCCGAATCGATCTAGCTATCTCTGGCAGAAATTTTTTTTCAAATGTTTTCAAAATTTTTTAAGGAGTTACATCGCTTAATTAAAAAACAAAAAAAAAAATTGGCAAAAAATTTAATTTTAGCTCAGTTTTGATTTGTCGAAAAAATTCAGTTAATTTCCGTTCTTGTTACTTTAAATAGACAAAACGCTCAAATGTTTTCTAAATAAATGCACTATGTAAATCCTAAACAGCTGGATTTCTTCAACATTATCCTTCTTTTTTTGCTCAGTGTACGAGAGTGTGTGTTTCAGGACTTGTGTGTGTATGTGAGTGTGTTGCGGTTAAATAGGAACTGCGCCAACTTATAACGCAGGCAACTTCCACATCCGTTTCCGTTGTCGGCGAGGCAAGGGACATTCCTGAGTTTCCACCACCCATTCACTTTTCCACCCACACTCACACCCCCTTTGGTGTGTCCTTTTCGTGTCCATGCCCTTTGGCATTCGCCGAAACTATTAAATCACATTTTACGAGCGTTAAGTGCACAATTAAAAGCATTTCGTTAATGTGGAAAATGTGGCGCTGCTGTCTTGCCTTGGACTGGCTTTCCTCCCCCGGTTTTTCCAACCACCCTCCCTCCTTTCATTGTGATGTAATTAAATTTTCAGCTGCCTTGGCCGCGCATTGCTTTGCGTGCACCTTGGGGGCCAAGAAACGGCAACGGCAACGGCAAATGGAATAACATTGGATTTTTGGCCATGATCCTGAAGGAGAGCAAAGCTAAAAGGAAGAAGAAATAAGGGAAGATGGAGGAACAAGGACCAGGTCTCCATGGTGTCCTTGCTCCAAGCAAAAACAAACTAAATCGATTATGGTTTTTGATGTAAATTTCCTTCTCGGAACAGCCATTAGAAAGTTGTCCTTGAGGGGCCAACGACAGCCAACTTGGAGATTGTTCTTTAATCTCAGCTTAAGTTGAAAAATCTGTTGATTGCGTGGATCCAAAATATCAACATCAAGTGTAATTTAAGGGACAACAAACCCACCCAGAGGGAGAGGTTTATTTTGTAGTAAAACCATTATGCTTAGGCATAAATTACATTTAACATTAAAAGAAAAATCTATTATAGACCTTAAATAGTTGATTTCATTAAATTAATGATGCACATTAAATAACCAACTATAACAACTGGTAAATAAGGTTCTCTTGTGCAGAAAATAACAAGTGGCAGAGGCATCCACTTACTCCCCCCTTAGTTGCACTGCCTTCATTAAGAGTAAAACGCAAACTAAGTAAGTAATATGAGCCTTAGTAGGCGTGTGAAGAGCACACTTAAAAAAAAAATAAAGAGGGGGATGTGTTCACCCTCACACCAAAAAAAAAAAAAAACACTCCCCCTCCTCACGAGCACACCCCTCTTCTTGCATCACGCATACGCCTAAGTGCGGAAGCATGTTCAAGTGTGTTGGAAATGGAAAGCAATGTGTTACTTTTTTTATGCTTGCCTCTGATTTTTCATTTTGCTTGCTTTATTTCCTTATTTCCCTCCCGCATTTCCTTAGCATTTTGTGACGTCACGCCCCAGCTGTGGGCGTGGCCGAATCGCGAACGGATGACAGTTGACGGTACAAAGTAGCGCTGTCTTGTCCTTGTCCTTCGTTCCAAAAAAAATCAAGGAAAAAAGAGGACGCTCGAAGCAAAGTGCAGGGAAACAAGGTGAAGGGTAAGCGGAGTGAGAGCAGAGGTTTTCTACAGGAGCAAAAGGACATACCGGGAATTTGACATTAAGAGGGGGTAGCATTTAAAGTTTGCTTTAAAAAAGGTTTTATTTTCTATATTGTGTCAAATTAAATATTGAAATAATCGAAAAATATATAATTAAAATATTAATAGTACCAAAAATATATAAACAGTTCTGCAAGAAAGTAAAAATAATGCAAAGTAAATGTTCTAAGAAAGAGTTTCAGGAGAAGAAATTTCCGAGTTCCGATTTGTTTTCAAATAAATATTGAAAATAATTAGAAAATAGCGATAGCCTTAAATTATAAGGCATCTAGTATCTATAATATATATAATATATAGTTACATCTCATATAAAATAACAAGAATGTTATTCTGAGCCAAGCATTTCTGGAAAAGGGATTACATTTTCGATATTGTGTCAGAATAAATATAGAAAATGATTTAGAAATATCTTTAAAATATTGCTAACCATAGGCATATCCATAATATATTACTATTTCTGCTACAAAGTAACCATAAAATTAATATCTTCCTATAAAAAGAGACCCCAAAATCCTCAAACCTCCCTCGCTGCAGCTGCAATAGAGGCATACAGCCTCAAGTTCCGTTATTCTCGCTGTTTGCTTCTGCTTTTGCCCCCATTTTTTCTTTCTTTTTTTTTTTGCGAATATGGCAGCGCTTCCGGCGCTGGCCCGATGGCCTGCTGCGTCCTTTTGATATTCGGAACCGGAAGGAGGGAGCGTGGCAGATGCCTTTTTTTAAAGGCGAAACATTTAGTTTGTTGCATGTTTGGACATGTTGCTCACTGCTGCTCGCTGCTTGGCTATACGTGACATTTTGCGGAAATGGAAATGGAGCCCCGGCTAAGCCAAAGATGAAGATATTCCATCTTTTAACGGAGAGCCCTGCACCAGCGAATTCTTATAATTTGCATTTAAGTTTTGATTGCCACAAAGAGAGAGAGAGAGAGAGCGAGAGAAAGAGAGCAGCAATCCGGAAACCGGAAAGGGCCGATGACAAATGCACGCTTCTTCCCAAAGGAAATGGGGGAAAAAAATTGAAAAACAAAACGAGTCAAGACAAAGGGAATCACACAAAAATCCAACGATAAGACACACTTGATTGCAAGTGCATTCAATATTCAAGTAAATCCATGACATAAATACATACATATATGTGCAAAGTTCAAAGAAACTATGCTTTTATAATCTAAAGATGTGGCAAAAGTATATAGCAAGCATATACATATATTACTTTCCATAGATAAGTAATTGCATTTACACTTAAATTTAAATCTTCATAACTTTTTGGGCTCTGAGGCTCTAACTGAAAGTTTGAACAACTTATTTCAAGGTCTCTTTACTTCCATTAACCTCTCCTCCTTGCATTAGATATCAGCAGCAGTAGCAGCATAAAAGCAAATTAAAGTTTGCCTTTGCTGGACATCATCAAAAGGTAAGTTTATGTGCAATCACGGACTGCCATAAACCCTCTAAGTAATGAAGGGGTGCCCGCTACATTCAACTAAACAAACAAACAAAACATACATAGATGCAGAGGTGAATCCTGGATAGAGGATGATTTTAATCGAAGGGATCAGGCTACGGCACACGACCGGATGGAACAAACAGAGAAAAAAAGGAAGCCGGTGAATGTTAGTGATGGAAAAAAATTAAATGTGGCTAGAAGAAATATAGATACTTCTTTAAATATATTTCTTTATAATACCAAAAAAGTACTACAAATAATATGAACATATATAATATGTCACTCAATTCGAAATTGTTTCAAAAACACTGAAAAAGAAGCTTCAAAATATGTTTGAAAAATGTTTAGTCCTTTCAAAATATTATAGCCTTATTTTAGATACTTTTTCTGGGTAAAATTCTTGAGTTTTTGAATAGAAAAATCCAAGTAAGAGTTTCTCCCTTCCCTTATTAGTTTGAGACATTTTTGATTTCTTAAAATTTCAAATTTTATGGAAAACATTTCCTTAAACAAATGTAAAGCTCCTTTTACAATATCATAGCCTCTATTTAGACACCTGTTCCAGTTGAAATACTTCCAAATTTTAGCTAGAAAAGAAAGGAACCTTGTAACTTAGCATCTCCTTTGCTTGGGCCTCCAACCGGATTTTCCGTCTCCACTCCTGGCATTTCGTGTCTGGATTGTCCGGCGGTGGCTAAGTCTTAAGACCCATAAAACCCATGTAGCATAACTAATAGGTCTTTGGCCAGGAGTTTTGTTTATTCTTTGCTTCTGCTTCTGCTTCTGCTTTTGCTTCTGCTTGTGCTTCTGCTTGTGCTTTGCTTTCCTGCTCGATTG